ACGGGGCCTGTTCAGATGCATGATGGGCGACGTTCGGTGATCCATTTGCTGGATGGGCAGAAGCTGGAGCTCACGATACAGCCACGACTGGTTGTCGACGAACTACTCAGTATTATTGCCAGCCATGTTGCCCTGAAAGACGCCGACAAGCAGTATTTCGGCGTGGCCTATGTCGATGACCTGTAAGCGCATTTCGTTCTTTGCTCGAGAGAATCTCCTATGTAAACTCACAGCTAGCAGCCTGCGTTAACTGTTGATCGGTGAAGGACAGCTTCTGGAGTAAATCTCGAAACAAATATGTACAGGAAACCTGTAATATCTCATTTAACTGATTATTAATTGCTTTAAATTGATTATTTGATAGTGAACCGGCCACAGTAACAGTTGAAAGGAAGCACTGTGACATGCAAAACAACAATAGATAAGAGATAGGCAGTTAACTGATAGACTAGGGATAACCAGGGGACAACGTTCCTGAGGGTAACCTGCGTAGATCCTCTTCCAGGAATTATTAGAAAATTGATTAGCGAGTTTAAATCACAGCGATGTTGAATGCGCCAGGCTTTCGTGGGTACCCAAGTCCAGCCACCTAGAATGGAAAAGGGACTAAGGCTGCTCGCGGGGTTCAAGCAGTCCAGCGAAAAGGCAAAAAGTGCGTACGATAAAGCGGATTTGGGGTATCCTCAAGCATAAAATGGTGAATATTTTTCATCATATTAGCCTATTATCAGAGCGGACTTTTGTCGATCCTACGTTTTTGCGAGGAACTCTTGTGGGGCGAATATAGGGCTGAATGCAGCGGACGATCGTAGAGTCTCATGTTGGTCTATTGACCCACTCTTTCTGAGTGCATGGAAAAGTTAGTACAGATGTTAAAATAAACAACCTGAAGCTTATAACTCGGAGTTTGCATAACTCGATAACTGACTTAACATTGCCATGCATTCCTTAAGCAGTTTACCTCCATTATGCTTAGTTGGATGGATTTGCGCAAAAAAAGTGATTTGCTAACTTCATATGCTTTCTGTCCCACGTCCTTATCCTGAAATAGAACCTTTTTCTGTGGTTAGAGTGCAAACGTATAAACTAATTTTGAATTACGGGTCCAAAGCTTCACTGACTTCATTAATTTACCTAACAGTTGGCCTGTTCAAACAGGGACACACACACACGCACACGCACATACACAGACACACACATACACACAGGGATCTATACATCCGGGGCGTGTTTTTATGAGTTTTTTAGATCTAATTACTACCAAAAAAAAAAAAAATCGTAAAACACTCTGTGGAAATGCGATGTTTTAGTTGGTGAGTTGAGCGTATTACTTAGGGATTTCATTTTTCATGCATTATTCAAAAGCACTGAAAAATCGGTTACTACTTTTGTGTGTTCACAGCAGGTGAATCTTACGGAAAGACATATGGGACTGATTTCATTTTATCACCTCTTTTGGCCAGTAGTTCTGACCAGTCAGGCAAACAGGCTTGTGCCAAAAACACAGGCTAATAAAATCTCGTCTTTCCACTGTACCAGTGATGTGCGGTTAGCTTTCTTCGAAGTTCCTTCGTTTCAGCGGCCAGTACCACTGGTTGCCCACAGACAGACGGGTTTTGGAGTGTGATATTCCGCGCAAGTCTCATCAGTCCGGTTTGGAACTGCACCACAGCGTAAAGTTAGTTGACGCATTTTTTTGAAAATTTTTCAATAATTTTAAATTGTTCAAGAGGCAAATTGAAAAGTTTTGCTGCAATACCTATTTGATAATATTTAGTTTTTATTTTAAATATCGCCAGCAGGGTCACGCTTACTGCTTTTTAATCTCCACATTTGCTAATTTTTTTACAGTTTTTTGCGCGTATTTTCAGGTTTTTTGTCGATTCGATACTCACATTGCGTCACCCATCGGCCGTCGAACTGTATTTCCTCGAGACAGCAAGGCGTTTAGTAAAAGTGAGGGGGTTTTTTTTTCATTGCATCATTGTTCTCTAATAATAAAAATACTGAGGCCATTTTTGTTGGTTCTTTCATTCGAGCCGGAGATTACTGCTGGATTATGATGAAAT